CAAGAAGCTGCTCATTTGTCGGAACTGTTGATATCGGACCACTATAACATATAGCTGCCATATAAACTGAATATTGGGATCAAGTTCTTGTAATGCCAAGCTTTCACATTTGATAATGTATCTTCACAAAAGTTGGCACAGGTAATTTTCTAAGATAATAATGTAACACACGAAGAAATTGTTCAGATCGGCTTACTATAGCACATAGCTGCCGTACAAACCGAACGATCGGAAAAAAGATCTTGTATGGAAAACTTTTGCATTTGATAATATATAGTCACGAAGTTTGGTATAGATTATTTTCTAAGGTAACAATGTAATTTCCAGATCGGATTACTGTTTCATATAGCTGTCATACAAACCGAACGATCGGAATCAAGGGTTTGTATGGAAAACTTTCGCATTTTCGTGGTATCTTCAGGAAATTTGACATGGTTTAAGGTAATAATATAATCTCCGATAAAATAGTTCAGATCGGATTACTATAGCATATAGGTTCCATATAAACTGAACACATAGTTACGAAAAGAAATGCACTGTGAAGAGTATATTAGTTTCGGTGCAGTCGATGTTACCGTTTTTTTTTGTTTACAGTTTTGTTGATAAAAACCAAAAAAAAAAAACAAAAACTACCATAAACCCGAGAGCTAAGCATGGTACAAAAGGTCAATTGGTACCATTTAAATAAAGGTGGGTGTAAGAAAAACTCAATTTATGGGTGGGAAAATCGATGCATCCATTTCTGATCCAGATGATTACAGATGAAGAAAAGTTACCCAATTTCCATCACCCAAGAGAAAACGACCGTGGTCGCTTCGCTTTAAGCCGACGCAATGGCTAGCCAATCCAGGATAGTCGATCAGGAGTGTTTAATGGGATTGTCATCTAATTTGAGTTGCTCCTTTATAACCAAACTCATATGTAACTTAGGCCTGTACTGCCAATAACTGGAACTTCTGAAAGAAGCAATTGCGGAGAAGCGGCAAGCCAATAGGAAAGGAATTGTGTTCTATAAGAGCAACGCCAGACCGCTCACATCGATTGTCCCTAGCCAGAAGCTCCGGGCGCTTACTTGGTAAGATTTTATGCAGTCAATCCTATAGTCCAGACCTCGAATTAAGTGATATAACAACATATACAAAATAGATGCTTAAGGAGTTACATAATTTTTTTTCATACTATAAAAAATGAAATATTTTATTTAAATTATTTATTGTTACAAGCATACACTATTAAGAAAAAAATTATGAAATGTTTGGAAAAAATATTTTAAACTCGACCATTGCGACGCTATTTCCGGTGATTCCTCGGACAAAAGATGCGCCCACGTTGGCAGAATAATCCCTTACTCAATCATGTAAATTGAAAAAATACTTGTTTTAGTTACAACCTTAACTTAGAACTTGAACAAAGAAAAAAAAACTGAAAAGTTGAATTTTTGGCAGACATTTTTACAAACAAATTTAAATTTCAGTAAAAATTTCGCGACATTTTTTTTCAAATAGATGTAATTGAAAGAAAAATCCTTCGTCCAAATCTTTAAGAATTGGAGCTCAAAARCCTGCGTAAAGTTTTATGAAAATCGGTTTAGTAGTTTACGAGAAATCTTGCCGAGCTACAATGATTCGCTAGTATCAGCAACACTCGCTTTCGAAGTTACATAGTTAGTTAGGTTGAAAAGCTGAGATGTTTGAAATTTGAATTTAAAATTAMGTTGTTGTGGTGCAATCATAAAAAATATTCCTAATCATGTATCTTTATCGGAACACAAACATAAATAATCAAGGAGTAAAGAGCTCAATCAAATAATAGCAAATTTGGCGAAGTTCATTCACGCTAACATAGAAAAATTATGGGAATCATGTGGTGTCGCCATTCGAGACATATTATTTTAGAAGTAATCAGTGTCTCCTCTGGATAATATTTACAGACCAGACCTGAATTTTTAAGCAAAAAGAACATTTAGTGGAAACACTGTGAATATCCTCCTAATGAAATTATTTTTATAAAAACTATATGGCATGTAAGACCACTTGTCACTTATACTAAATTTATATACTATACTACATGTACCTTTACATGTTTACATATATGYATATACATATGTATGTATTCAGTTCATAAAATTATCATTCTACAAAATATGCCATTAAATACCTTAAATACTTCTCAACGCAATACTAAAATGCAATTTGTTACAACAAATGAAAAAAACAAAAATTTCCTTTATTTGCATTGTCTCTATCGCTTGTTGAATATGCGTAAATGAGTTGGGCAATTATTTTATTAAATTGTTGGAAATTTTTGCGCAATCACTAACTAAGCGTGACAAAAATATCACAACCATGTACAGTTTTGCGGAATCAAATAATTACGAGSAAAATTATATACAAAAAGGCGCACTGTAAAAAATCTTGTTTAGAACACTATTTATGTTAGTATATGAGCTTTTTGCAGCATTAAATATTAGTTATCTGAGAAATATGGTTGATGATAATGACGTGTACAAATAGGTCAATTAGTTGAGGGAATTATTATTTAAACAATGTATGTTTGAAAGTTTTCCAAAAATGTTTATGATTTCCTTGGCAAATAAAATKTTGCACTTTTAATTATACTAGATGAAAAGAAGGATGACATTGTAATGATCAAAAAATTAAACTGCTATTATTAATTTAGAGCAGTGCAGAAACACTGGAAAAAATGAAAAAATTTGATACTACGTTGAAACGCATTGGAAAAGGATGACAAAAAATAAAAATGAAATGCTAAATAATTTGCGGTCGGTTTAAGGGTCGCGAAGGGTACGCGGAGGAGGGGTTGAATTTTTAAGGCTTAAAATGGGTTTCCTCGATTTTCGACAACTGAAGAGCTCTATAGGAGAAAAGTTTTAGAGCATAGCTGTAGGTAATGAAAAGGTCTATTACTTTTGTATATAGACTTTTCTCATATAATCCGAAAATTTATGTGAAAAATTATAATAAGTATTATAATGATAGCCCAGTTATTGGACCTTTATCTCTA